ATTCAGACACTCCAACCTAGTGATGATGGAAGGAACATTAGAGATCCAGGGGTCTGAGAGTGATGCCCGGAGCAAGAACCAGCTCTCACGTGTGTTTTTCTTTCTTTCTTTCTTTTCTTTTTTTTAAGTTACTTTTATCAATTCCAGAGAAGAAGGGAGAGGAAGAGAGAGAGAGAAACATCAATGATGAGACAGAATCACGGACTGGCTGCCTCCTGCCCGTCCCCCACTGGGGATCAAGCCTCAAGGAATGTCATTAAACCTCTGCAATTTCCTGCAGTGCCCTGACCGGAATCGAACCGTGACCTCCTGGTTCATAGGTCGACGCTCAACCACTGAGTCACGCCAGCTGGGCTCTCATGTGTTTTGATTGGAAGGAACAGTGTGGGAGGAAAGGAGAAGAAAAAGGAAGGAAAGAAGGAGGAAGCAAGAGAGAAATGGATTGTTTTGAGAACAAGTATAAACTGCCCAGTTCTGCCACAAGCCTCACATTCCCTCATGTCTTCCACTGGCAGCTCCACACATTCTTTCTTTTTTTATTTTTTTTTAAATATATTTTATTGATTTTTTCAGAGAGGAAGGGAGAGGGATAGAGAGTTAGAAACATCGATGAGAGTGAAACATCGACCAGCTGCCTCCTGCACACCTCCTACTGGAGATGTGCCAGCAACCAAGGTACATGCCCTTGACCGGAATCGAACCTGGGACCTTCCATCAGCTGCCTCCTGCACACTCCCTACTGGGGATGTGCCCACAACCAAGGTACATGCCCTTGACTGGAATCGAACCTGGGACCCTTCAGTCCACAGGCCAACACTCTATCCACTGAGCCAAACCGGTTAGGGCAGCTACACACATTCTGTCATGTGTTTGACTCCTAAAGGCCATAATTCCCAAATAGGCCCAACTTTATTTTTTAGATAAAGACCAAGAATCCAGGAATAGTTAATAACTTGCCTAAGGTAACAGATGTTTGTCAGCCAAGCAACAGTAAGAGTCAGTGACCTGGCTCCTAGTTCCACATTCTCTTCCTCTGACTACATCACACTCTTCCACAAACTCAATCTAGAGCCCGAAACACCAAAATGTTGAGATAGGGGGAGTCGGCATATAAAATGATTAGGTCAATGAGCAACCACTGAGCAACACTGGCCAGGCCCCCAATTATATTTAAAGCAAATGAAAGAGGAAAAAAAATGAGGGACTAGCATGGAAAATTGTGAAAACATTTTGCATTTTTATGTGGCTACTTCCTGGCTGAATACACAGTAAATGAAGGGCTGTTAGCAATGATTGCATGTACAGTTATTTAGAAACCAGAGCAATAACTTGTGAGGAAAGACCAAGAATGCTGATTAGCTTTTTCTCTGCTCATGAACCAGGCAAGACATTTTGGGGAAGTGATAGCAGATAGATAAAACCAAGCCAACAAAACCAACACAAAACAATTCAAAAGAACTTGAACTTGCATTTTATCTGATTGCATAATAACAACATAATTCTCAAGTTATTAGGCACCAACACTCAAAATCACGAAGTTCCCCATATAAAATAATGCAACCATACCCTCTTCAGAAACACACATTTTGACTTGAAGGAAGATCCTATTTAAAAGAGATAATTTATAGCAGGGGTCCTCAAACTACGGCCCGCGGGCCACATGCAAATACAAATATTGTATTTGTTCCCGTTTTGTTTTTTTACTTCAAAATAAGATATGTGCAGTGTGCATAGGAATTTGTTCATAGTTTTTTTTTAAACTATAGTCCGGCCCTCCAACGGTCTGAGGGACAGTGAACTGGCCCCGTTTAAAAAGTTTGAGGACCCCTGATTTATAGGTATGAAGTGAAGAACTTCTAACTATGCTTTATGTCAAAATTAGCTTTTTTGTTTCTTTCCATGAGTTGTTATATAAGCTACATAAACACAAAAATGCTACTAAATAAGTAACAAAGTCCTGAAAACCCATGAAAAATCAGGTGCCACTTCTTGATTCATTGTTAAAACTATCACTAAAGTTTTTTGTTTTGGGGGGGATTTTGTTTTGTTTTGTTTTAAATACTTTTAATGATTTCAGAGAGGGAGGGAGAGGGAGAGAGAGATGGAAACATCAATGATGAGAGAGAATCACTGATCGGCTGCCTCCTGCACGCCCCACACTGGGGATCGAGCCTGCAACCCGTGCATGTGCCCTGACTGGGAACCGAACCATGAACTCCTGGTTCATAGGTGAGCGCTCAACTACTGAGCCTTGCCAGCTGGTCTAAAGTTGTTGTTTTTTTAAGTTAACCTTTTCCTTTGCTTTATGTCTGCTCTTAATTCCAAGTATTCTATTTTATACTGTTAGCACACTAAATTTCAAATTTATTTTAAAATGTATTAGCTTTGAATGAAAACTCTTCATGGGTATTAAACATAGTACTATAACATTAGTTTGAAACTAACCACTGCATTAAAATGCCTAATATTAAATGGCCTCTGATGCTTACATAAAAATTCAAAATAAGATCAAAGAAGGACAAACATTAGGAGTCATTTATAATGCAAAACAAAAATTTTTTGCCAACCTCAAAAATTAAACAAAATCACTCATATTATCACTGTGCACTGCATTTTTCTTGCTTTCAAATAAAAAGTTAGCCTGGCCAGCGTAGCTCAATGGTTGAGCATTGACCTATGAACTGGGAGGTCACAGTTGATTCCTGGCGGGGTAAGTACCCGGGCCCAGATTGAGGGCTTGGACCCTAGTGGGGGGCGAGCAGGAGGCAGCCGATCCGTGGTTTTCATCACTGGTGTTTCTATCTCTCTCTCCCTCTCCCTTACTGTCTGAAATTAATTTGTTTAAAAAGTTAGAAGTGATTATTTCTGTATCTAACCTTTCTTGAAACATGAGTAGGGTGAATACCTTCATTAAGACCAATCCTTTTACTCTTGCAGTGTGGATACTGAGAATGTTGACAGTTTCTAACACTGCTGACAATGGGAACAATAATTAATAACTCTTACAAAGTTTAGAGTCACTTGAAAATAAACTTTCTAATCTCCTTGAAAAATCCTCCCTTTGCTGCAAGTACCAAGCATAAAGAGCAGCTAACATTTAATGAGTGCTTCTTAGTTGCCAAGCACTGATCTTTACCCTCATTTTCTACCAGAGTAATCTGTAATTATTTTATTTGTTTGTTGTCTTTCTCCCCCACTAATCCAGGGGCTCCAACAGGACAGGGATTTTGTTTAGTTACTTATTGTATCCCCAGCACCTCGTATGCCTAACACATAGTAGGCACTCAATTAATTGGCTCAGTGGATAGAGCGTCATCCCGCGGACTGATGGGCCCCAGGTCCGATTCCGGGCATGTGCATGTACCTCAGTGGCAGGTTCAATCCGCAGCCCTGCGGGCTGGGTGCGGGAGGCAACAACTGATGTGTCTTTCTCACATCGATGCTCCTCTCTCCATCTCTCCCCTTCCCTTGCACGATCTCTAAAAATCAGTGGAAAAATATCCTCAGGTGAAGATTAACAAAATAAAATAAATAAATGAGTCAGCGTTCTATATGCATTAAATAATTTTTTAAACTATTGGTCATGAGGGTTAAGGAAAGGCAACACAAAAACACACACAAAAAAATAGAATGGTTTACTTTAGTAGAATATTCTTTAATGAAATTTTCATTTAGTATATATACATATCCTATATAATAAAAGGCTAATATGCAAATTGACCGAACGACAGAATGACCAGTCGCTATGACGCACACTGACAACCAGGGGGCAGACGCTCAACACAGGAGCTGCCCCCTGGTGGTCAGTGCGCTCCCACAAGGGGGAACGCTGCTCAGCCAGAAGCCAGGTTCACAGCAGGCAAGAGCCTCTCCCGCCTCTGCGACAGCACTAAGGATGTCCCACTGACGGCTTAGGCCCACTCCCCGCCTAAGCCATCAGTCCGAAATCCCCCAAGGGCTCCCGACTGTGAGAGGGTGCAGGCTGGGCTGATGGACACCCCCCAGTGCACGAATTTTCATGCACAGGGCCTCTAGTATATATATATGTATATATATACACATATATAGTATATAATCCCATATAAAATGTATTTCTTACTGATGAGAAACAGTAAGAAAAGTCTGAAAATGATTGCTTTACACAGATTATTTCATTTGCTCCTCACAATAACCCTGTAAACAACACCATAACTGTAAAATAACAGAACCAAAGTTTCTAGATGTTATTATATTATGATGTCCAAGATGAAAGACTATCGACAAGTATGTACTTCTATAGACACTCATTCATTAGTACTACACTAAGAAAATCTGAGTGAACTAAACAAGGTTTCAGTCATAGTAATTATGATATGATTAATAAAGGAAAACAGGCTTTTCAAACGAGCCTGGCTGAATCTAACACCTGGCTCTGTCTCTGTGTGGGCTTTGCCCTACCTTCATGTCTTTACAGCTCCATTTCCCCATGTGTAAAGTAGGAATATTCATAAGTTTGTTTGACGTTTTAAATGATTTAATATATGTAAATAGCCTAGAGTCTAGTAGGCCCTAGACAACGAAATAAAGCTGCTGTGATGAAAATAATTATTGGTGTTGTGTGTTGTCCCTGGTCCAATAAATCCCATTCAATCCCATACTCCGTAATTTGAATGTGTACAAAGTATGAATTAGGAACTTATTAAAGAGCCAAGTGTGGGAACTGGGCAAAAGTGGCCTAGTGCAGAGCCGTGCAAGAGTTTCTGCTGGCACTGGACAACAAAGGTGCTTAAATCAACATCAGGGAGTTGGACAGGTGACCCAGGGAGTCAAGGGAAACGCCATTGGTTAATAGTAAAAGCAAACTTTCTCCCTCCCTCAAAAATCACAGCAACACCCATCTTCTTCCTCCGCGTCCTGGCTGAGGTGGGGCCCGTTGGGGTGTTAGGTCAGGCACCTGGCCAGCTCCCGCCCACCAGGCCCTGGTCCCCGGGGGGTAAGGCGCAGGGTTAGGGGCAACTCACCCTGGAGACTCAGCTGGTATTGCCCCAGAGACTCCTCCAGGGTAGAGTTCTCCAGGGACTTCTCCATGCGCAGACTCGGGGTCCAGCGAGGGGAGTGAGGTGGGACAGTGTCCAGGGATCCCCCTCCGAGGACAGGAGGCCTTGGCGCCCCGGCAGGACCTGCCTGTTTCCTGCCGCGGCTGTCAACGGGGAGCCTGGAACCCCACTCAGAGGGTCTCAGCCTTCCCACCCACTGGCCCTCCTGGTGGATGACGGGACTTGTGGTTCACAGACTGCGGGCTTGCAGCCTCCACTTTCCCGGGAGCCCTTCCAAGGACACTACAATTCCCAGAGGGCACCGCGCCCCGAGCACACAGGCTGCAACGGCTCGCTGGCCGGATCCGGTTGCCAAGGGACTGTTAGGAGGCTCCGCCCTTTTCCTGGCTTAGTCCTGCCTTCATCCCATCCTGCTGTTGGACCTCACCCTACTGACAGCAAGGCCTGGACCCTTCGACATGTGCATACAAGCATTCGAGCCTTGAAGCTTCTGAAAGACGCAAATAACAAGCTCTGCACTCTTCACGACGTTTGTCAAAACGGCCAAATACATTCTCAAGAGAAAGCAGCTCTAAACATCTCCCAAAGAGCCTAGATTGTGAAAGGCGGCTCACACTACAAATCCAAGCATGCCCAGCAACCCGACCTCCCCTCGGAGTTGGCGCGCTGCCCGCTGGGAACTGTAGTCCCAGTGAGTTGCGGTGCCCGCTAATGCTGGGGTCCTTCTTCATTGTTCCAGCGGGTCTTGGAGGCACGCGTGCGCAGTAGGACCTGGGAAAGCCTGCGGGAGACCCTCTGCACAACCCCTTTCATTGTCTGCGCTTGGCGCCTGCGCAGTGAGAGGCCGCCGGGTCGGAGCCGGAGCGGGGATAGGGCCGGGCTCCTCGCCCTTCCCCAGGCGCCTGCGCACTGGCCGCCGCTCCTGCCGTTACCGCTATGTGTGGGGCGTGTGTGGAATAACGTTATCGCCCAGCGGAGCCGAGAGGCCGGGACCTCCATCGCAGCCACAGCG